ATGTGTTTCTAATTTTTAACTTAGATTTCAAACAAAAATCAACAATTGATGCAAGTGACCAGCTGCTACTTAATGGTTTCAAGGGTTGGTCAATCAAATATCAACCAATATTGAATGTTGATTTGATATGTGTTTGTTAATTTGTTGTTTTTTACTGTACAACATGCAGGAAAATGTAGCTACAGTTCTCTTTTCATATTCCAAGTCTTAAGTCCAATGGGGGTGGTTTTCTTGATCAAAATGCAAATTCTTAGATGATAACAAACCCAATGAACCTGTGTTTATATGCTGGCACACCATTTTTATGGCATCATTTTATTGCTCTCTAAGAATAACAAAGAATTATGATGATATCTGTATAATAATTTACCAAGACATAAAATAATATTTGTACCTTTTACTTTCAAAAGTTATATATATTTTATTTGTATTTTTATTTCACCTTTATTTAACCAGGTAAGCCAGTTGAGAACAAGTTCTCATTTACAACTGCGACCTGGCCAAGATAAAGCAAAGCAGTGCGATAAAAACAACAACACAGAGTTACATATGGGGTAAAACAAAACATAAAGTCAAAAATACAACAGAAAATATATATACAATGTGTGCAAATGTAGCAAGTTATGGAGATAAGGCAATAAATAGGCCATAGTGCAAAATAATTACAATTAGTATTAACACTGGAATGATAGATGTGCAAGAGATGATGTGCAAATAGAGATACTGGGGTGCAAATTAGCAAAATAAATAACAATATGGGGATGAGGTAGTTGGGTGGGCTAATTTAAGATGGGCTGTGTACAGGTGCAGTGATCGGTAAGGTGCTCTGACAACTGATGCTTAAAGTTAGTAAGGGAGATAAGAGTCTCCAGCTTCAGAGATTTTTGCAGTTCGTTCCAGTCATTGGCAGCAGAGAACTGGAAGGAATGGCGGCCAAAGGAGGTGCTGGCTTTGGGGATGACCAGTGAGATATACCTGCTGGAGCGCATACTACGGGTGGGTGTTGCTATGGTGACCAATGAGCTAAGATAAGGCGGGGATTTGCCTAGCAGTGATTTATAGATGGCCTGGAGCCAGTGGGTTTGGCGACGAATATGTAGTGAGGACCAGCCAACAAGAGCGTACAGGTCACAGTGGTGGGTAGTATATGGGGCTTTGGTGACAAAACGGATGGCACTGTGATAGACTACATCCAATTTGCTGAGTAGAGTGTTGGAGGCTATTTTGTGAATGACATCGCCGAAGTCAAGGATCGGTAGGATAGTCAGTTTTACGAGGGCATGTTTGGCAGCATGAGTGAAGGAGGCTTTGTTTTGAAATAGGAAGCCAATTCTAGATTTAGCTTTGGATTGGAGATGCTTAATGTGAGTCTGAAAGGAGAGTTTACAGTCTAACCAGACACCTAGGTATTTGTAGTTGTCCACATACTCTAGGTCAGACCCGTCGAGAGTAGTGATTCTAGTCGGGTGGCCGGGTGCCAGCAGCGTACGATTGAAGAGCATGCATTTAGTTTTACTTGTGTTTAAGAGCAGTTGGAGGCTACGGAAGGAGTGTTGTATGGCATTGATGCTCGTTTGGAGGTTTGTTAACACAGTGTCCAATGAAGGGCCAGATGTATACAAAATGGTGTCGTCTGCATATGCTGTGTTATCTGTATCATAAAGATACAGTAGATTGATAGGAGTGTGCACATGTGAGCGTGGATGCCTACGTATGGGTGTTTTGTTTCACTATCCTTGTGGGGACCAGAAGACCTCGCAAGGATAGTAAAACAAGGAACATTAGGACAAGTGGGAACATTTCACTGATCCCCACAAGGACTGTTTTAGATTCAGAGGTTAGAGTTAGGGTTACAATTATGGTTAGAATTAGGCTTAGGGTTAGATTTAGGGTTAAGGGTTAAGGTTAGGTTAAGGGCTAGTGGTTAGGGAAAATATGATTTTGAATGGGAATCAATTCTTTGGTCCCAAAAGTATAGTAAAACAAATGTGTGTGTGTGTGTGTGTGTGTGTGTGTGTGTGTGTGTGTGTGTGTGTGTGTGTGTGTGTGTGTGTGTGTGTGTGTGTGTGTGTGTGTGTGTGTGTGTGTGTGTGTGTGTGTGTGTGTGTGTGTGTGTGTGTGTGTGTGTGTGTAAGTGAGTGAGTGAGTGAGAGAGCGAGAGAGAGAGAGAGAGAGAGAGAGAGAGATTTGATTAGCCAACTTTGATTCATAGTCTATGGCATAATGTATTCAATTTGTACATAAATAGGTATTGTAAGACGATAATGTTTTAGATTTTCCTTTCCTCACAGTTGCGATAGACTGTTATAATCGTGTGATAATGACAGTTAAACCCTTCACTTCTGTATGATTCAGGTTATTTAACTGTCACATACTGTCAGAGCAGCCCGCTTGGAGTTTGCCAAAAGGCACCTAAAGACTCTCAGACCATGAGAAACAAGATTCTCTGGACTGATGAAACCAAGATTGAACTCTTTGGCCTGAATGCCAAGCATCACGTCAGGAGGAAACCTGCCACCATCCCTACGGTGAAGCATGGTGGTGGCAGCATCATGCTGTGGGGGTGTTTTTCAGCGGCAGGGACTGGGAGACTAGTCAACCATCTAGGACAACCATCTCTGCAGCACTCCACCAATCAGGCCTTTATTGTAGAGTGGCCAGACGGAAGCCACTCCTCAGTAAAAGGCAAATGAAAGCCCACTTGGAGTTTGCCAAAAGGCACCTAAAGACTCAGACCATGAGAAACAAGATTCTCTGGTCTGATGAAACCAAGATTGAACTCTTGAATGCCAAGCGTCACGTCTGGAGGAAACCTGGCACCATCCCTACAGTGAAGCATGGTGGTGGCAGCATCATGCTGTGGGGATGTTTTTCAGTGGCAGGGACTGGGAGACTAGTCAGGATCAAGGCAAAGATGAACAGAGCAAAGTACAGAGGGATCCTTGATGAAAACCTGCTCTCAGGACCTCAGACTGCGGCGAAGGTTCACCTTCCAACAGGACAACGACCCTAAGCACACAGCCAAGACAATGCAGGAGTGGCTTCGGGACAAGTCTCTGAATATCCTTGAGTGGCCCAGTCAGAGCCCGGACTTGAACCCGATCGAACATCTCTGGCGAGACCTGAAAATAGCTGTGCAGCAACGCTCCTCATCCAACCTGACAGAGCTTGAGAGGATCTGCAGAGAAGAATGGGAGAAACTTCCCAAATACAGGTGTGCCAAGCTTGTAGCGTCATACCCAAGAAGACTTGAGGCTAAAATTGCTGCCAAAGGTGCTTCAACAAAGTACTGAGTAAAGGGTCTGAATACCTATGTAAATGTGATATATTTTTTATTTATTTTTTATATAAATTAGCAAAAATGTCTAAAAACCTGTTTTTGTTTTGTCATTATGGGATATTGTGTGTAGATTGATGAGGGGAAAAAATTGTTTAATCAATTTTAGAATAAGGCTGTAACCTAACAAAATGTGGAAAAAGTCAAAGGGTCTGAATACCTTCCGAGGGCACTGTACACTTTCAACAAGCTACCACCAGAGAGCAGTTTTTCTCTATTCAGAAGAGTAATAGAGAACATTACACCCAAATGTGCCAACTGACCCACCCAACTGACATAAAAATAAAAAAATCTAGAGGTCTGAATTAAATTTGCAAAGCACATGTGAACACGTCTATAATTTCCGTTATTTGAATAGGACTACCCTAGTCTATTCTCAATCAAAGTGTAGCCTAATAAAATATAATTCACTGAAGGGCAGCAAATATTCTAATATACTGGCCTTTTTTAGATGTTTGAAAATCATGTTGAAATCATCAAGGTTATTTGGTTAGGCCTAGTTCATTTGCAATTTTTCTTTTCGGCCTGTTCTGAGATTGACTGAGGCTACTCTCATCCAGCAAAAATGAAAACGTTTATGACAGTCATTAGCCTACTTTTTTACCTAGTGAAAACAAAGTTTAAAAAACCCATGCCAGAGTAGTAATATTCCAACATACACTGATCATTTGTTGTTGCCTGGCCTACATTCACTGTAGATGCTCAGGTAAGGTCACTCACTGTCAGAGAGCCCTTTTTGCCACGGACTTTGAACAGTCAGGTTGAAGCGGGTTTTCCCTCCCCAGTGCTATATAAGCAGCATGCAGGACCTCTCCAGGTAGCCAGGTAGCTCAGGTGATTTCCCCTTTTCATAAGGACTCCTGCAAAAGCCTACTTCTCCACTTCAGGTGCGTATTACTACCCTTGATACTCCACATTAGAAACAAGACTAATTCAAGTAATATCACAACAAAACAAAATCACAACAAACAAAGATATGGTAGGAATTGTTACCTATAGCTGTATGCGCTTATAGCCTCAAAATGCTTATTTTTTGTGCTATTTTTTGCAGTTTTTAGTTGCTTTCTTTTTTTGTCAAATGTTGCCCAGATAACGATGATAAGAACTATTATTGTTATTATTAGAATAATTGGTATTCATTGTATTAGTTAGCCTAGTAATATGCCTATTTTGCCACTATTGTAGCCTATTGTTGTTTGACATAACTCAATTTGATCCTTGGAAAAGGAGAGCTTAGAGAGCTTTACTGATTACACTTTTCTTATGGTTTTCTTGAGGATAGTAGGCCCCTAGCCGACAGTCATATTTGTATGTCTCTGTGGACTTTATCAATGTGGACGTGAAAAGCAATATCACGATGAGTTATTCCCATGGAATAAATTTCCATAATTGAAAGGAGAAATTGTCATATTGGCACAAGATTGCTTGGCTGTGCATTGGAGGAGAAACACATAAACATTTCAGGAACTCTCTAATAGAGGTCTCAATATAAAAGGACTGTGTTTTTGTTTGTCTCTGAGAATTATGATTATTTGTAAATTTCTATCCAAATTGATTCATTCAAGTAAAAACTGTTTAGCCTTACTCCGATATACTTTGAGGTTTGCTACATGTTCCTCATGGTTTACCTCAAAGTAAAGTAAGTTATATTTCCTATAGGGCAATGGCTCCTCGTCCAGAAGTCAGAGATACCTCTTCTCTCACTCTTGGTATGTACAGTTGGCTACTCCTTACTATCATCCATACCTCACCACCAGGCAGCATCACACACAGAGGCAACATCCACTCACAATTATTCTAATCCCACAGATGATGCTAATACGGCACCCAAAGACTCAGTCATCCTGCCGGCATATTCTACCGTGGACAAGTATGAGGAGGACCCCTGGAACCTCCCTGAACTGCAGGACACTGGACTCAAGTGGTCAGGTGATATAGAGTATTGTTGTTTCTCAAATGGCACCCTATTCCCAACAAAGTGCACTTCTTTCCCCTTCACTGAGATGAAAATTGAGGCTGTTTAAGTGAGAACCTGTGTGACTATACCAACCAAAATCTGGTTTCTCATCCAGTCTCATCTCTCTCTTTGGAAACAGAGTTGGATACCAAAGGGAAGGTTATGCGGGTTCTGACTGCGATTGTCAAGTTCATTCTGCTGGTTGGATTTCTCTACATGTTCGTCTGCTCTCTGGACATCCTGAGCTCTGCTTTCCAGCTAGTTGGAGGTAACATTAAACCCTGCTCTCTGTCAGCGTTGACAAAATGAATATTATGGTTTCATATCTTACTGAATCTTTGTTTATGTAAGTACTCCAATCCAATCATATGATACAATATACAGTCAAAATCAAATAAAAGTATAAAAATGTATGTTTGTTGTCAACCAGGTCCTGATAAGGGACCTACTGTATTTGTCACTACTTAGGTTTTAACTCTGCTAATTTGATAATACTCTAATACTCTCATGTTGATGACATTACGCAATATTATTCACAATTGCAACTGTCCTCTCATTCCATTAAAAAATATAAAAATATGGGATGTTTATGGATATGAAAGCGTTTATGGATCGTTTCCATGATGAATTTGGACTTACCTATGCGCTGTGTCTCCATAGGTAAGGCAGCTGGGGACATCTTCCAGGACAATGCGGTGCTGTCCAACCCCGTGGCTGGCCTGGTGATTGGAGTGCTGGTCACAGTGTTAGTCCAGAGCTCTAGCACGTCCTCCTCTATTGTGGTCAGCATGGTGTCCTCTGGATGTGAGTATACACACACATACAAGTACACATGGGACATATACACACATGCCCCCTCAGATTTTCATCAAGGATCCCTCTGTACTTTGCTCTGTTCATCTTTGCCTTGATCCTGACTAGTCTCCCAGTCCCTGCCGCTGAAAAACACCCCCACAGCATGATGCTGCCACCACCATGCTTCACCGTAGGGATGGTGGCAGGTTTCCTCCTGACGTGACGCTTGGCATTCAGGCCAAAGAGTTCAATCTTGGTTTCATCAGTCCAGAGAATCTTGTTTCTCATGGTCTGAGAGTCTTTAGGTGCCTTTTGGCAAACTCCAAGCGGGCTGCTCTGACAGTATGTTTAACTGTCATTATCACACGATTATAACAGTCTAACGCAACTGTGAGGAAAGAAAAATCTAAAACATTATAGTCTTACAATACCTCTTTATGTACAAATTGAATACATTATGCAATAGACTATGATTCAAAGTTGGCTAATCAAATCTCTCTCTCTCTCTCTCTCTCGCTCTCTCACTCACTCACTCACTCACTTACACACACACACACACACACACACACACACACACACACACACACACACACACACACACACTGATTCTTTATCGTAGTGCTGGAGGTCCAGTCTGCAGTGCCAGTCATTATGGGAGCCAACATTGGAACCTCAGTCACCAACACCATTGTGGCCATGATGCAGGCAGGGGACAGAAATGAGTTCCGCAGGTACATCTAACTGGATAACTTTCTAAAGATTCATAAGACTACAGTGCTCGATTTCAGGCATTTGACTTACTGGTAGTTTCTGATAATATGTTTACATGACTCATTTTATTCATTTCCAGCCGTTTTATGAGTCAGAACACAAAAAATCTAGACAGTTCTAGAACACTCAGAGGCTTCTCTGTCGAATAAACGTGTCTCTGGCTCCATCCAGTGGCCGGCTGCGTCATCCATTTTGTCAGCTCTTTGCTAGGTCATGTCAAAGGGGCGGACTTTAGAAAAGCGAATCTTTAGGTCGACTCCCTCGCGACACAGACATGACACAGACATCATTGGATTCTTATTGAGCAGGCGTTCATAAATATATACCTTTCATAGCTGTACAATAATGAATGCGACCTACACACTTCCTTAAACCTAAAATAAGTAAAGCAATTTTGTGTGGAAGTCAAAACATTTTTAAAGTCAGAGACAGACACAAAGCACATCAGTAGAACCAAGAAAAAGCGCCCTTTTCACAGGCTGTTTAAATGGCCAAAATGTTGATTTAAACATTCACAAATTTTACACATTTTGACTATCACTAATGTCATGATATTTTGGGTAAAGTAATAAAGAAGGTCAATTCACTATGATATCATCATATTTGTATATGGACACGACTACATTATTCAAAATATTGCCTTCTTGCTTGATTGATGAATACAGCCATAGCAAAACGGCTGTAAGTCAGCTCAATAAGTTTTCTAAACAGTCTCAATCGATAGAAGTATACTTCACAATTTTGGACCATAAAAAAGCTTTTCTAATTAGCTGGTTGGTAATGAGCAGAATTCTTGGGAAAGAAAATAGATATAATGATATCATGCTTGGTAAATTGTGAGCTGTGTAACCTAGTGTTATTTCCTCCAGGGCGTTTGCTGGTGCCACAGTGCATGACTTCTTCAACTGGCTGTCTGTGCTAATCCTGCTGCCTCTGGAGGCGGCTACTGGTGTCCTGTACAAACTCACCAAGATCGTCATCGACTCCTTCAACATCCAGGGAGGCAACAACGCCCCTGACCTGCTCAACGTCATCACCGATCCTCTCACCGATGCCATCATAGAGGTAGGATCAGTATTTTACCATCGCAATTCATCTGATTAATCCCTATATGAAATGTGAGGTGGATCACATTAGCTTGGCTAATGCAAATTATAAAGCAAAAGACACAATATGAGAAGTGAAACTTATTAGAATGTATTTATATAGCTAGCAAGATACAGTACCTATACAACCCTGAAACATGTCCAAAACATTTATGAAACATCTGCTTAATATTACATTTGAGTTGATGAAGAAGTTTAGTAAGTTTTAAATCATCTTTAACTGGTCTGAAACCTTTATTTTCCTCTAGCTGGACAAAACTGTCATCAGTGACATTGCCACCGGTGACCCAGCAGCCAGAAACAAGAGTTTGATCAAAATCTGGTGCAAATCAGAGAAAATCACGGTAAGACGTTTAGATTAATGATGACCCTGTCACCAGTGTTCAAATCCAATCCAATCCAATTTTATTGGTCACATACACGTGTTTAGCAGATGTTATTGCAGGTGTAGCAAAATGCTTGTGTTTCTAGCTCCGACAGTGCAGTAATATCTAACAAGTAATATCTAACAATTTCACAACATATACCCAATACACACAAATCTAAGTAAAGCAATGGAATTAAGAATATATAAATAAATATATGGGCAAGCAATGTCAGAGCGGCATAGACTAAGATACAGTAGAATAGTATAGAATACAGTACATACATATTTACATTTACATTTTAGTCATTTAGCAGACGCTCTTATCCAGAGCGACTTACAGTTAGTGAATACATATTTTTTTTATACTGGCCCCCCGTGGTAATCGAACCCACAACCCTGGCGTTGCAAACGCCATGCTCTATCAACTGAGCTACATCCCTGCCGGCCATTCCCTCCCCTACACTGGACGACGCTGGGCCAATTGTGCGCCGCCCATGAGTCTCCCGGTCGCGGCCGGCTTTGACAGAGCCTGGATTCGAACCAGGATCTCTAGTGGCACATATGTACTGTATATTGGGTATAGGTTGTGAAATTGTTAGATATTACTTGTTAGATATTACTGTACTGTCGGAGATGAATAATGCAAGTTATGTAAACATTATTAAAGTGACTAGTGTTCCATTTATTAAAGTGGCCAGTGATTTCTAATCTATGTAAATAGGCAGCAGCCTCTAATGTGCTAGTGGAGGCTATTTAACAGTCTGATGGCCTTGAGATTGAAGCTGTTTTTCAGTCTCTTGGTCCCAGCTTTGATGCACCTGTACTGACCTCGCCTTCTGTATGATAGCGGGGTGAACAGGCAGTGGCTCGGGTGGTTGTTGTCCTTGATTATCTTTTTGGCCTTCCTGTGACATCGGGTGCTGTAGGTGTCCTGGAGGGCTGGTAGTTTGCCCCCGGTGATGCGTTGGGTAGACCGCATCCCCCTCTGGAGAGCCCTGCATTTGCGGGCGGTGCAGTTGCCGTACCAGGCGGTGATACAGCCCGACAGGATGCTCTCAATAGTACATCTGTAAAAGTTTGTGAGGGTTTTAGGTGCCAAGCCAAATTTTTTCAGCCTCCTGAGGTTGAAGAGGCGCTGTTGCGCCTTCTTCACCACACTGTCTGTGTGGGTGGACCATTTCAGTTTTTCAGTGATGTGTACGCTGAGGAAGGTACTCTGAAAATATAGTTTAACAAGCAAACAATTACTTCATACTGGAAGAAGTTAACCTACACTAAAGCTACCCTTAAGAAACATTTGGTTTACTTAACTAAATTTACTTTGAAAACGACTTATTGAAAAAGTACTATATATAAATATTTAGCAACACAGGAGGTTGGTGGCACCTTAACCAGCAATTATTAATCAGATAGTGAAACAATGGGCTATTTTTGACCACGTTTGTGATGATTGATGATTTATGAGTTTTCCGACTGTAAAAACAAGATAACGTTGTAGTATACCTGAGAGTGCTATCTCTTAAGCTCTCCTCTCAGGGTTAATGTTTGATAGATCTTGTAGTTTGTCCAAGTGTCGTAAGTTTACAGACACTTAGGTTGGAGTCATTAAAACTTGTTTTTCAACCACTCCACACATTTCTTGTTAACAAACTATAGTTTTGGCAAGTCGGTTAGGACATCTACTTTGTGCATGACACAAGTAATTTTTCCAACAATTGTTTACAGACTTATAATTCACTGTGTCACAATTCCAGTGGGTCAGAAGTTTACATACACTAAGTTGACTGTGCCTTTAAACAGCTTGAAAAATTCCAGAAAATAATGTCATGACTTTAGAAGCTTCTGATAGGCTAATTGACATCATTTGAGTCAATTGGAGGTGTACCTGTGAATGTATTTCAAGGCCTACCTTCAAACTCAGTGCCTCTTTGCTTGACATCATGGGAAAATCAAAAGAAATCAGCCAAGACCTCAGAAAAAGAAATGGTAGACCTCCACAAGTCTGGTTCATCCTTGGGAGCAACTTCCAAATGCCTGAAGGTACCACGTTCATCTGTACAAACAATAGTACGCAAGTATAAACACCATGGGACCACCCAGCCGTCATACCGCTCAGGAAGGAGACGCGTTCTATCTCCTAGAGATGAATGTACTTTGGTGCGAAAAGTGCAAATCAATCCCAGAACAACAGCAAAGGACCTTGTGAAGATGCTGGAGGAAACAGGTACAAAAGTATCTACAGTGGGGAAAAAAAGTATTTAGTCAGCCACCAATTGTGCAAGTTCTCCCACTTAAAAAGATGAGAGAGGCCTGTAATTTTCATCATAGGTACACGTCAACTATGACAGACAAAATGAGAAAAACAATTCCAGAAAATCACATTGTAGGATTTTTTATGAATTTATTTGCAAGTTATGGTGGAAAATAAGTATTTGGTCAATAACAAAAGTTTCTCAATACTTTGTTATATACCCTTGTTGGCAATGACACAGGTCAAACGTTTTCTGTAAGTCTTCACAAGGTTTTCACACACTGTTGCTGGTATTTTGGCCCATTCCTCCATGTAGATCTCCTCTAGAGCAGTGATGTTTTGGGGCTGTCGCTGGGCAACACGGACTTTCAACTCCCTCCAAAGATTTTCTATGGGGTTGAGATCTGGAGACTGGCTAGGCCACTCCAGGACCTTGAAATGCTTCTTACGAAGCCACTCCTTTGTTGCCCGGGCGGTGTGTTTGGTATCATTGTCATGCTGAAAGACCCAGCCACGTTTCATCTTCAATGCCCTTGCTGATGGAAGGAGGTTTTCACTCAAAATCTCACGATACATGGCCCCATTCATTCTTTCCTTTACACGGATCAGTCGTCCTGGTCCCTTTGCAGAAAAACAGCCCCAAAGCATGATGTTTCCACCCCCATGCTTCACAGTAGGTATGGTGTTCTTTGGATGCAATTCAGCATTCTTTGTCCTCCAAACACGACGAGTTGAGTTTTTACCAAAAAGTTCTATTTTGGTTTCATCTGACCATATGACATTCTCCCAATCCTCTTCTGGATCATCCAAATGCACTCTAGCAAACTTCAGACGGGCCTGGACATGTACTGGCTTAAGCAGGGGGACACGTCTGGCACTGCAGGATTTGAGTCCCTGGCGGCGTAGTGTGTTACTGATGGTAGGCTTTGTTACTTTGGTCCCAGCTCTCTGCAGGTCATTCACTAGGTCCCCCCGTGTGGTTCTGGGATTTTTGCTCACCGTTCTTGTGATCATTTTGACCCCACGGGGTGAGATCTTGCATGGTGCCCCAGATCGAGGGAGATTATCAGTGGTCTTGTATGTCTTCCATTTCCTAATAATTGCTCCCACAGTTGATTTCTTCAAACCAAGCTGCTTACCTAATGCAGATTCAGTCTTCCCAGCCTGGTGCAGGTCTACAATTTTGTTTCTGGTGTCCTTTGACAGCTCTTTGGTCTTGGCCATAGTGCAGTTTGGAGTGTGACTGTTTGAGGTTGTGGACAGGTGTCTTTTATACTGATAACAAGTTCAAACAGGTGCCATTAATACAGGTAACGAGTGGAGGACAGAGGAGCCTCTTAAAGAAGAAGTTACAGGTCTGTGAGAGCCAGAAATCTTGCTTGTTTGTAGGTGACCAAATACTTATTTTCCACCATAATATGCAAATAAATTCATAAAAAATCCTACAATGTGATTTTCTGGATTTTTTTTATCTCAATTTGTCTGTCATAGTTGACGTGTACCTATGATGAAAATTACAGGCCTCTCTCATCTTTTTAAGTGGGAGAACTTGCACAATTGGTGGCTGACTAAATACTTTTTTTCCCCACTGTATATCCACAGTAAAACGAGTCCTATATCGACATAACCTGAAAGGCCGCTCAGCAAGGAAGAAGCCACTGCTCCAAAACCACCATAAAAAAGCCAGGCTACGGTTTGCAACTGCACAAGGGGACAAAGATCGTACTTTTTGGAGAAATGTCCTCTGGTCTGATTAAACAAAAATAGAACTGTTTGGCCATAATGACCATCGTTATGTTTGGAGGAAAAAGGGGCTTGCTTGCAAGCCGAAGAACACCATCCCAACCGTGAAGCACGGGGGTGGCAGCATCATGCTGTGGGGGTGCTTTGCTGCAGGAGGGACTGGTGCACTTCACAAAATAGATGGCATCATGAGGAAGGAAAATTATGTGGACATATTGAAGCAACATCTCAAGACATCAGTCAGGAAGTTAAAGCTTGGTCGCAAATGGGTCTTCCAAATGGACAATGACCCCAAGCATACTTCCAAAGTTGTGGCAAAATGGCTTAAGGACAACAAAGTCAAGGTATTGGAGTGGCCATCACAAAGCCCTGACCTCAATCCTATAGAACATTTGTGAGCAGAACTGAAAAAGCGTGTGCGAGCAAGGAGGCCTACAAACCTGACTCAGTTACACCAGCTCTGTCAGGAGGAATGGGCCAAAATTCACCCAACTTATTGTGGGAAGCTTGTGGAAGGCTACCTGAAACATTTGACCCAAGTTAAACAATTTAAAGGCAATGCTACCAAATACTAATTGAGTGTATGTAAACTTCTGACCCACTGAGAATGTGATGAAAGAAATAAAAGCTGAAATAAATCATTCTCTCTACTATTATTCGGACATTTCACATTCTTAAAATAAAGTGGCGATCCTAACTGACCTAAGACTGGGAATTTTTGCTAGGATTAAGTGTCAGGAATTGTGAAAAACTGAGTTTAAATGTATTTGGCTAAGGTGTATGTAAACTTCTGACTTCAACTGTAAGTCCCAGTGCCTTATTGCTACTATATCATGTCGTCATGAAGGTGGTATTTTCTTAATAAAATGCCTTTTCTTTACTAGTCATAATGTCATTAAGGTCATTGTTTCCATAGGTTTTGATTACTTTGTGATAGCCATTATTACTGTGCCTTTTATCTGTATTGGCTAAAAACAAATATTGTAATATTTTTGTGTGTTTTATCAGAGAGGAAGAGGCAAATCAAGAGGGTTTACTCTGTCCAAAATCGGTCCATGAAAATAAGGAATTTTTGTATGGAGGTCAATGAGAGAGTGTTGAATTTGGTCAACAAAAAAAAGTAATTGCTAATTTGCTACGTGAGGCTTATTTGATCAAATAGACGTTTCGTAATGGTTAGGTTGTTACGAATACACTGATATAAGTGGACGCCTGCGGCATTTCGGCAACTTTATATCGGAGTTGTGCCTGTTGTTCACACGCGTATCTACACTCTCATTTGCTAGAATGGTCCCACAAGATCGCGCCTCCTCCTGCCTGCCTTCCATCTTTGAGGAGATGTATTTTCATTATTAGAGCGGTCACTCGACTATCTTGTCAATATAATAGATCATTTTTGTTGTTATTCTCTTCTTTTTTAGACTCTTGTGAATATAACAGTTCCCTCAGCTGCCAACTGCACGACCGGTGCCCCCTGTTGGGTGGAAGGCAACAAGACATGGACCCAGATAAATGTCACTGAAACAATCAATCTAGAGAGATGTAAGTACAGCACAATCACTGAACAGCCCATGACCCTACAAAGATCTTTACAGAGCAATTTGGAATACCTGATACACTAAACCAAAATTCTGTGAAACCTGAGAACACCCACCTCTCCCCCTCACTGCCAGACAATACTACCTGACACAAGGACAATGACTTCCATTCAGTCTATAAAGTGACTCAGCACATATCCTCATCTCACCCCCTCTGCCTGCTCAAATACCCCCCCCTCACCCTCTCCACCTGCTCAAAAGGCCCATTCAACCTGGCCAGCTGAAGCACCTGAGTGGCCCAAGGCCAAACGACTGGCGAGTACTCCCAAGTCTGACACAGCCAATCAAAATGAATACCTGTACGCTTGGTTCTGAAATCAGTCAATCAAAACAAGGGAAAGGGCCGTTGCTCTCATGATGACTTAGATCAAATCCTGTTGTAATGAAACCCCCTACATTGGGTCACCACACGTCAGAGCTAAGTGTAGAAGCTATAGGGAAAAAAACATGTTGACTACTGAAGTACCATTCCTCCTATCTATTCCATGAAAATGACCTTCTCACTAATCTCACTAAATGTATTACGTTCTCTCTAATATCACTACATTTATTACCTTCTCTCTAATCTCACTAAAGTTGAATTACCTTCTCTCTAATCTTTCATTGCTATCCCACCTTTGTCCCATTTAAATCTTTAATAATATTTGGCATCTTCCCATCAGGCAACCATATCTTTGTCTATGCTAACCTACCTGACTTGGCTGTGGGCCTCATCCTGTTGGCCCTGTCCCTGCTCATCCTCTGTACCTGCCTCATCCTCATCGTCAAGCTGCTCAACTCCATGCTTAAGGGACAGGTGGCTGTGGTCATCAAGAAGGTGCTCAACACAGGTGAGCAGACATTTGGCTATTTTCTCAATCTACTCAGAACGCTGGTAGAACAGGCATCCTGTTTGATAGTCAGCAGTGGTACAAGCACATCTTGATGTTTGATGAGCAACACTGGTGAAGCCACGCTGAAGCTTGAAGGTCACCTCAGGTGCTCTGGTCCTGTTACGTGATAGACCAAGATCAGGTTAAACTATGCTGTGATCCATACAGACACTTTGATGTTGATGTTGAAACTAATCCTAACATTCACTGTTGTTAAAAGGGTCACCAGGGTGTTACAGTTATGGTCGCCAAGCTAATGCTTAACTTGCTGTGTCTTGTCTGTTCAGACTTCCCTTTCCCCTTCGGCTGGGTCACCGGTTACATCGCCATCATGGTCGGAGCAGGAATGACCTTCATTGTCCAGAGCAGCTCTGTCTTCACCTCTGCAATCACTCCCCTTGTTGGTGAGTAGTTAGGCCTATTTGTTTAGCTTCTATCTATCCATTTACCTTTAGCTGTCTCCTATTGCATCCAAACCTACTGACTAATGTAGAGGGCATATACTCAAGTATTATTTCAGTATCATGTAACCCTTTCAGTACCATGTAATCCTTCTCTCAATTACCCAACAGGTATTGGTGTTATTAGCCTTGAGAGAGCCTATCCCCTGACATTGGGCTCAAATATCGGCACAACTACCACTGCTATTCTTGCTGCTATGGCTGCTCCTGGAGAAACACTGGCCAACTCACTGCAGGTTTGTTGTAGTAATCATTTATTTTTATAGCAATTTCATATTGCTTTCTGTCCACTCTCTCCGTATGCATCAGTGTTTTTGAAGTAAAGTCTTATTCACCCTGTTTGCATCTCCTCCTCTCCAGATTGCACTGTGCCATTTCTTCTTCAACATAGCGGGAATCTTGCTGTGGTACCCCATCCCCTTCACTCGGATTCCCATCCGCTTGGCCAGAGCCCTGGGGAACCGCACAGCCAAGTACCGCTGGTTCGCAGCGCTCTACCTCTTTCTCTGCTTCTTCCTCATGCCGCTGACCATCCTGGGGCTCTCCCTGGCCGGCTGGCAAGCCCTGGTTGGGGTGGCCGTGCCCATCGTTGTCCTCGCCATCTTCATCATCATCGTTAACCTGATGCAGGTGCGTTGTCCACAGTACCTGCCCAGTGGGCTGCGTAACTGGGACTTCCTGCCCCGTCCCCTGCACTCCATGGCTCCCTGGGACCGTGTGGTGAAGTCAGGCATGGCCTTCTGCGGCGCCCACTTCTGCTGCTGCTGCAAGTGCTGCCAGAGTACTGAGGATGAAGAGAAGGGTGGGAAGGAAAGGAAGAAGAGTCTGGAGATGTATGATAACCCAGTCCTAAACAGAGACGATGAGCCACAAGAGACCCCCAAGGAAACTGTGAAAGCTACACAGCTCTAACACAGTTAAGAATTCACTGTAACATATCTGTAAGACATATATAACCTACCTGTAACATGTTTGTAATTCTCCAAGTTTGCTTAGGCTTTATGGAGTTAACCAGTCTCTGTTTCAGTGATATTGTATAATGTGGTGTAAGCCTGAACAGGGCAACTACACTCAACTACACATCTTGTGAGTATCCACTGTATATACTGAGTATACCAAACATTAGGAATAACTTCCTAATAACCCCCCCCCCCCCCCCCCCCCCCCCCGTTCTTTCCATGACATAGACTGACCAGGTGATTGATGTCACTGATCCCTTATTGATGTCACTTGTGGAATCCACTTCAATCAGTGTAGTTGAAGGGGAGGAGACAGGTTAAAGAAGGATTTTTAAGCCTTCAGACAATTAAGACATGGATTGTGTATGTGTGTCATCCAGATGGTGAATGGGCAAGAAAGAAATGTAAGTGCCTTTGAGCAGGGTATGCTAGTAGGTTCCAGGCACACCGGTTTGTGTGAGGAACTGCAACACTGCTGGGTTTTTCATGCTCAACAGTTTCCCGTATGTATCAAGAATGGTCCACCACCCAAAGAACATCCAGCCAACTTGGCACAACTGTGGCAAGCATTGGAGTCAACATGGGCCAGCATCCCTGTGGCATGCTTTCGACACCTTGTAGAGTCCATGCCCCAATGAACTGAGGCTGTTCTGAGGGCAAAAAGGGGGGTGCAACTCAATACCTGGTCATTACTTTTATTTCATTTAGCAGATGCTTTTATCCAGAGCGACTTACAAGAGCAATTATGGTTAAGTACCTTGCTTAAAGGCACATCCAACAGATTTTTACCTAGTTGGCTCAGGGATTCAACCCAGAGACCTTTCATTTACTGGCCCAACGCTCTTAACTGCTAGGCTACCTGCCACCCTGTGATTGATAATGCATAAATGTAAGTTAATGGGTACAGTAGATTGGTCACTCCTGGAGGGTTGTGCTATAATGCTGTAGCTAGTTTATGGGAGGTTGTATCAATATGTACTACTGATAGTAATAAGTGAACTGTATCTGATGTACTTTTGGACAGTAGCCACCTGCCCTGTTCAAACGTGAAGGCCAGCATCCTCTGGCCCATAGATATTTCACCTGGGAGACCAGTCCTGATTATGATGCTCAAGCCAAGGTGCACTTTATGAGTAACTCATGGTGATAGCACTTTATAGTTAACTACTGTGTCTAAATCAATTGGCACAAATGGCAGCAGATCAGAAAACCAAATACAAGGTTATCATTGTTATGATTTCTCAAATAGGCCATTTGCACATTACCAATTCAATCTGAGTAATAATAATGTGTTTATCGCTAAAAACAGGCCAGTTGGGCTTTTGGCTTCTAGTTTGGGGTAGATAACTCATGCATAATAATCCAGACTGGTCTCATAGACCACAAATTAATACATACCATACGAATCGTAACATATCATACTAAATGGAGTGTCTCGGATTTACGTACAGAATAATACAAAATGCTCTGAGACCACGTTGCAGAATCGGATAATGGTTATAATGGGTAGCTGATATCTAATGAGTTGATAACAGAGACTTTGGGCTCTATTCAATCTGTATAGCTGAAGCGTTACAGATTGCGCGATAGAAATGTGAAAGGTAATTTCCGATTGAGCCGACATATGCAGCGTTTACCATGAATGCAGTCTCCGCAAACGCGGGAACATTGCCTTTAAATTTCAATCACGCTGTACACTGAACTTCCACGATACAGATTAAATAGTGCCCTTTGACACTTTTATTTCTGAGAGTTCTGGCATTCGTGATAACCTTGGATAAAGAGTTGAGTACTCAGCTGTTTCAAATAATTTGTCAATCACATTTAATTGAACTCTTTATTTTCTGAAAGGACTGTTTACAGACTATGGTTTAATGCATGGCTTAGACCATGCATCAACTCAATCTCTGTATGTCCTGGATGTTGACAAAATCTAAAAGTCTCTATAAAAACAAAAGAGACATAAATGGTTACAATGGTTGCCCGTGGGAATATTAAGAGAGTTTGACTAAACAAAATATTATTATAAAGCATAGGGTTGAGAGCAGTTAAAAATGTCACATTTATTACACTGGTCACAGTGCTTGTTGGCAATGAAGTACCAAGATTCAAGGTCATATCAATCGTCATTTTGGGGGGAGGGGAGAAATACTAGAAAGGATACTGCTGTTTAGTTCCTGCAAGTTACCCAATTTATGAAATACATAACACAGATACATAGTACCAGTTCTATCATCACCATAACACAATGTCCTTATCTGAAAAGCAGAGTGCAACAGTGAAGTACTGTATCTACATGTTCAGCACACTATGATGGGGCTTTAGTGTGTTTCACAGAACACAATCATATCTCCCTCATTGACAAATATACACTACATGACCAAACGTATGTGGAAATCTGCTCGTCGATAATCTCATTCTAAAATCATGGGCATTAATGTGGAGTTGGTCCCCCCTTTGCTGCTATAACAGCCTACACTCTTCTGGGAAGGCTTTCCACTAGATGTTGGAACATTGCTGTGGGGACTTGCTTCCATTCAGCAACAAGAGCATTAGTGAGGTCGGGCACTGATGTTGGGCAATTAGGCCTGGCTCGCAGTCAGCGTTCCAATTCATCCCAAAGGTGTTCTCATAGGGTTGAGGTCAGGGCTCTGTGCAGGCCAGTCAAGTTCTTCCACACATATCTCAACAAACCATTTCTGTATGAACCTCGCTTTATGCACGGGGGCATTGTCATACTGAAACAGGAAAGGGCCTTCCCCAAACTGTTGCCACAAAGTTGGAAGGACAGAATCGTCTAGAATGTCACTGTATGATGTAGCGTTAAAATTTCCCTTCATTGGAACTAAGGGGCCTAGCACGAACCATGAAAAAAAGCCCCAGACCAATATTCCTCCTCCACTAAACTTCACAGTTGGCACTATGCATTGGGGCAGCTAGCGTTCTCCTGGCAACCGCCAAACCCAGATTCGTTCGTCGGACTGCCAGATGGTGAAGGGTGATTCATCACTCCGGAGAACACGTTTCCACTGCTCCAGAGTCCAATGGCAGCAAGCTTTACACCACTCCAGCCAACACTTGGCATTGCGTATGGTGATCGTAGGCTTGTGTGCGGCTACTCGGCCATGGAAACCCATTTCATGAAGCTCCCGACGAAGAGTTCTTGTGCTGATGTTGCTTCCAGAGGCAGTTTGGAACTCGGTAGTGAGTGTTGCAACCAAGGACAGACAATTTTTACGCAATACACGGTTCAGCACTCGGCTGTCCCATTCTGTGAGCTTGTGTGGCCTACCACTTCTCGGCTGAGCCTCCTAGACGTTTCCACTTCACAATAACAGCACTTACAGTTGACCGGGCAGCTCTAGCAGAGCAGAAATTTGACGAACTGACTTGTTGGAAAGGTGGCGTCCTATGACGATGCCACGTTGAAAGTCACGGAGCTCTTCAGTAAGGCCATTCTATTGCCAATGTTTGTCTATGGAGATTGCATGGCTGTATGCTCGATTTTATACACCTGTCAGCAACGGGTGTGGCTGAAATATCCGAATCCACTAATTTCAAGGGGTGTCCACATACTTCTGTATATACAGTGCATTCGGGAAAGTATTCAGACCTCTTCCCTTTTTCCACATTTTGTTACGTTACAGCCTTATTCTAAAATTGATTAAATATTTGTTTCCCTCATCAATCTACACACAATACCTTACAATGACAAAGTGAAAACAGGTTTTTAGAAATGTTTGCAAATGTACTAAAAATAAAAAAAACAGAAACACCTTATTTACATAAGTATTCAGACACTTTGCTATGAGACTCGAAATTGCACTCAGGTGCATCCTGTTTCCATTGATCATCCTTCAGATGTTTCTACAACTTGATTGGAGTCCACCTGTGGTAAATTCAATTGATTGGACATTATTTGGAAAGGCACACACCTGTCTACATAAGGTCCCACAGTTGACAGTGCATGTCAGAGCAAAAACCAAGCCATGAGGTCGAAGCAATTGTCCGTAGAACTCCAAGACAGGATTGTATCGAGGCACAGATCTGGGGAAGGGTACCAAAACATTTCTGCAGCATTGAAAGAAAACAGTTTTTCACATTTTGTTACGTTACAGCCTTATTCTAAAATGGATTTTTTTTTAAAGGCCTCAGCAATCTACACACAATACCCCATAATCACAAAGCAAAAACAGGTTTTTAGAAATTTTTGCAAGTGTAAAACCCCCCAGAAAAACCTTATTTATATAAGTATTCAGACCCTTTGCTATGAGACTCGAAATGTAAGTCAGGTGCATCCTGTTTCCATTGATCATCCTTGAGATGTTTCTACAACTTGATTGGAGTCTACCTGTGGTAAATTCAATTGATTATTGACATTATTTGGAAAGGCACACACCTGTCTATACAAGCCATGAGGTCGAAGAAATTGTCCGTAGAGCTCCAAGACAGGATTGTGTCGAGACACAGATCTGGGGAAGGGTACCCAAAAATGTCTGCAGCATTGAAGGTCCCCAAGAACACAGTGGCCTCCATCATTCTTAAATGGAAGTTTGGAACCACCAAGACTCTTCCTAGAGCTGGCCACCCAGCCAAACTGAGCAATCGGGGGAGAAGGGCCTTGGTCAGGGAGGTGACCAAGAACCAGATGGTCACTCTGACAGAGCTCCAGAGTTCCTCTGTGGAGATGGGAGAACCTTCCAGACGGACAACCAGCTCTGCAGCACTCCACCAAATCAGACCTTTATGGTAGAGTGGCCAGACGGAACCCACTCCGCAATAAAAGGCACATGACAGCCCACTTAGAGCTTGCCAAAAGGCACCGAAAGTACTCTCAGACCATGAGAAACAAGATTCTCTGGTCTGATGAAACCAAGATTGAACTCTTTGGTTTGAATGCCAAGCGTCACTTCTGGAGGAAACCTGGAACCATCCCAACGGTGAAGCATGGTGGTGGCAGCATCATGCTGTGGGGATGTTTTTCAACAGCAGGAACCAGGAGACTATTCAGGATCGAGAGATCGATGAATGGAGCAAAGTACAGAGAGATCCTTGATGAAAACCTGCTCCAGAGCGCTCAGGACCTGAGACTGGGGTGAAGGTTCACTTTCCA